TGTTAAAGGTAATTCTATGTTACTGGAGCTTCATTATTTCATCTAGTTTTAATTAAATAGACTCTTCATAAATAAATATTTATAACTAAAACAAATTCGAAATGCTGTCTGCACTTGAAATAGATATCAAAGGAAAAAACATATTCCAAGATGTCGAGTAGGAACGATATGAGATAAATAAACAGGAAAGGAATGACTTTTGAATTGTTAATTCCTACAAATCACATATTAATAGATTTCAATTTTATTTTGCCTTGTTATTTCTAGTACCAATTAAAGGTGTCGAAATAAACTAATGCTCAAAAGAAAGTACCCACTAGGTTTGACCAATTGTTAGGAGAAAACAAAAGCAGATAGAAATGAACAACTATGTAATTCCAATAGAATATTCATGTCTACAACAAATTTACACAAATTTAAGTAACAGACAGCCGTGTTTACTGTTCGACCGGCACACAAAGACAAGGGGGGTCGGGTTTACTTTTACAGAAATTCAGAAGGCAAATTGTCTTTGAAAAATAATCAATATTTATTTATCAATTAATTAATTAATAGCAAGTGTGACTCCCATTAGCAGCAATGCAGGCGACAACACGTCGACGCATTGATGATGTAAGACGTTGGATGACGTTAGGCGTTATTCTTTGCCATTCTTCTACGAGACATTGTTCCAGCTGTTGAGCAGTGACAGGTTGCGTCGGTCGATTTCGGATTTGCCGATCGAGGTAATCCCATAGGTGTTCAATCGGATTCATGTCGGGAGAACAAGCTGGCCACGGTAAAACAACGACGTTGGCGTTTAGAAGAAAGTCATTTGTCAATCTTGCTGTATGTGGCCTTGCATTATCGTGTTGAAAGACAATGCCACGGGGTTGTTGCCGGATAAATGGTAGAACAACTGGTCGCAAAATCTCGTCTCTGTACCTTTGAGAATTAAGGTTGCCACGAATAGTCACAAGTGGTGTTTTCCTATCATCGCAGATCCCTCCCCACACCATCACACTACCGCTCTGACTTCCTTAACACAATTTGGTCTTAAACGCTCACCTATACGTCTGTAAACACGAGCACGACCATCATTTTTGTAAAGACAAAACCTACTCTCGTCCGTGAACATCACACGTTGCCAATCACGAATCTGCCATCGCCGAACTCTCCTGGACCATGTCAATCGACGACGTCGGTGTTGAAGTGTCATGTGCACTCCTCAGTAGGGGCG